CAGTAGCAACAATAAAAAAAAACAAAAAAGAAGGTGTTAAATCGGGTTTAAATTATTCTATCTTACATCGAGTTAGTTCAAAGACAATATAACAATATTACTTTTTTAATTTAATTACTAGTTTTGAATTTACAACACCTCCTTTTTGACAATTTTCTTAATAATAAACGCGCAAAAATAAAGCGAAAACAAATAATATTTTACAGCCCTTCTCTTAATTCCTAAAAATCGGTATTACCCAGGAACTGTTTCGTTTATCCATGGGCATTAAAAGTAAAAATCATTTTGCCAAAATATACCGTGCCTTTGATATAGTTTAGTTTGAATCTATTACTAATAAAATTACTTTACTTCTTACTTTAATCAGACTAGAACAAAAAAGCTTTACCGAGCTTTGGTCTCGGATTAATTTGACTAAAAAAAACAACTGTTAAAGTAGTGATTCTATAAATTTTATCGCCACATTCGGCCACGTTTGTTAAAAATATAAAATAAAAGATAAACAGTGTGGAAAAAAATTAAAACTACATTCTTCATTTTTGCGGATGCCGATGAATTCATTTAATATAATTTACTTTTTTTGCCACTTAAAATTATATAAATATCATTATATTGTATAAGATTTAAATGTTATAAATTATAATAATTTGAAACCCAGTGTAACTAAACTGAGCCACAAATTACCTATCGAGCATCAATTGAAGCGTAAAGTGCAAATTTTTGCATTAAGTTTAACTTCTTGTATTTTTTAAACTTTTGAAGGAATTTTGAATTTGCCAGCCAGATTCTAAAACATTGTTTTATCGACTATCGAACCGTTCTTTGTAGTTTTTTTCAATTATTGGTCAGGACCCATAATACAGGGTAAAGCGCGCATTTTTAACAAAATTTTAAGTTAGCCTCATTTTGTGGAGGGATGGAGGAGATCCATTTTTTGTGGGTAGTTTGACGGAGGTGTTTTATACCTCGGGACGTTTATGAGTTTTTTTGGCTATCGCTCTCCATTGCGATGTTTTCGATATTCTTATGATTGTCGGTAGAGTTTTAATACTAATAATTTTATCTCATTGTGAAATGAAGATCTCGTATTTTTAAGCATTATGCATTTTAATGTATAATTAAAGAAAGCAAACAAATAATTTTATAAAACTAAAAAGTGTTACAGTTATACAGGACGTTAAAAATGTATCTAGCTGGTATATTTAAATTATATGAACAGGTTTTATTATGTATCTTGGCATAACAAAAGAAGCATTTAACACTTTTTCATTAACGATACAGTATAATCACTTAGTATAATCATTAGTTAATACGCATAATACTCAAAAATACAATATATTAATTATATATAAAACAGCTCTTTTAAAAGATATACACAGAGGTATAAAACAGCTCTTTTAAAATACCCACAAATAATGGAAATCCTCCATCCCCCCACAAAATGGAGGTCACTTAAAATTTTGTAAAAAATGCACGCCTTTTTGTTTTACCCTGTATTATGGGTATTGGCCAATAATTAAATAAACTGCAGAGAACGGTTCGACAGTCGATAAAAAAGCGTTTCAAAATCTGGCTAGCAATTCAAAACGCCTTCAATAGTTCAGAAAATACAAGAAGTTCAACTTGATGCAAAAATTTTCACTTTACGTTTCAATTGGTGCTCAGTTTACTTTTAAATAAATTTATTAAACCATGTTATTTGATGTATTTTATTAAGCTGAATCGAATAAAATCCGTCCCAATGCGATTCGATTAACGGTTTAGGAAATATAGGGTTTTTTCGTTATATTATCAGTTTCATGCCACTGTGCGCCGCCTCTGCAAGCGAGCAAAGAATGCTTGTTTCAGAATGCTTATCTAATCTTTGGTGTGCTCTATGTATGTAAATTTAGATTGTCTTCGAAATAAAACAAGTAACACTGTCACCGCGGTTAAATTGTATGTGTATTTAGTAATTAAATATTTTTAATTAATTAAGATAACAGATTTAAACTGTCTTTTTCTCTTTTATACTGTGTGTTTCAGTATTTCTTCTATTCCAGACAAAAATAGTTGTATACGATATAGAAAATAAGTCCTCACAATTGGAAAAAAATGTTTAGGTTTTTTATGTTTTAAAAATTTAGTCATAACATTAATGATAACTAATATGCATTATATTATTACAGTTCAGCAAACTTTTGTGCCAGTTTAAATAAAAATACCTTGTTCCTATTATCTATACCGAGTGCGTCTCAAAAGTGGCTCACCCCCTATAACTTTTTTATTTTTTCAGACAAAAAAAAACGAGATTTGGTATGTTAGTATATGACATAAATTAGGAATAATTGACGTATTCAATTCTTTTCCGCCACTTCTTGTTTCACCGGAAATGATTACAACTTTTGATTTTTAAATGGCACCTTCGGTATTTTTTTACTTTATTCGATAAAAAATTACACTCTGAATAGAATGACATATCACATGTCAACTTTGGACATTTTCGCTTATAACAAAATCGAACTTTAAATTTCAATCTAGAGTGCCATGGCTATGTTAAAAACACTAATTTTTAATTATGAAGCATTGGAAAAATAGTTTTTATCGTCTAATGTTTTTCGTATTTTGCCCTGGCCGGTTAAAAAATGCCCAAATCGTATTTTTTATCATATCCCAATTTTTTCAAATGGAACGAGGTTGGCACATTTGAAAAAAGCATTTTTTTACGAATAATTTGGTATCACACACTTGGTATTTCGAGTCATATTGTCGTTATGAATCGCATGTTGCAATTTCAAATAAACAATATTCAAAAGTGTCAAAAGTTGACATATGATATATGTCATTCTAGTCAGAGTGTCATTTTCTATCGAATAAAGTAACAAAATACATTTCCGGTGAAACAGAAAATGACAAAAAACAATGGAATACGTCAATCAATCCTAATTTATGTCATATACCAATATACCAAATCTCGATTATTTATCTGAAAAAATAAAAAAGTTATAGGGGGTGAGCGACTTTTAAAACGTACCTGGTATAAACTAATTCCTATAGTAATTCAATAACTAAAATATGTTTTGTTAATATCTGTCTGTGTTGTGACAGAAAAAGGTATTGACACCAAGAATTAACATAAATAAATAACAAGAATTCATGCAAATTTTCATCAAATACAAACAGCAGTGAAAATATGCAATATACAGGGTGTGTAAATAAATAAACCATAAAAAATTCAGAAACAAATATTAATTTTTTAAAAACCAATCTCAATTTTTTTCGGAGTTATTTATTTTATTCATTTACACGTCACACCCTGTATGAGTAGTTACATACTATATTACGTATGTATAAATGCGGAATTTTGATTAATTTTATCTGATATTAAATAACAGGTTCTTGCTTTGACACACTTTATTACGGAAAATGTGTAATTTAACATACTATAGAGTTTCTTTGTTCAAGATAAGAGAAGGTTGTTTAACATTTAATAAAACCTGATATAAATTATTGTTAATTCCATGATTTTCAATTTTATAGAACTATTACAAAAATTACTTACACTGAATAAGATCATCAGTTAGTTGTTCTTATGGTAGTTCTATATGATTTTGATCATGATTTTACATCACTTTTTTTTAATTAAAAAACATGCTTTATATACAATGCCCGCCAAAAAGTACTCAACAAAGATATTTTTTAATAATTATTGAGTTGTCGAAAAATATTTTAAATATAATTAATTTACCATGCCCAATACCAAAAAAACATCATTTTATCATATGTCTTGGTCTAATCTACATAGCAACAAATTATAAACAAGTTCTGTAAACGTAAAATGCGGAAATAGATGGCAATATAGTGTTCTATAGTGTTCTAAACCTATTACTGCAGGACTAAATTTGAAGCAATATTTTTTACAAAATTTAAACAATTCTTTATTAAAGGAATAATTGTAAAATTGCAAACGGTTTATTTGGCTAATATTTGCCAAATTATTGTCTTTCTTAACTTATATATTTCAAAATTAAATTACGTTTAATCTTTTACAGTCAGTTTTGGTCGTTTCAAATGACGTATATTTTATTTGTTAGAAAATTATTTAATATCTTAATTTGGTTTAGACGGCTCAGATTTTATAAAAATACATATTTTGTATTCGAACTTTCTAAATAATTATTCTGTATATTAAATTCCTAAATTTATTTTGAGCAAGACTACTGCAGCACTAAATTTGAATACTCCAACTTCAGAAACAATAGCGTTATTGACAATTTTTTAGCATAATGAAATTTTACATTTTTTGGATATATGTATAACATTATACAGGATTGTCATTACAAAAGGAAATTTTTTTATTATTAATTTTTTGAGCAAAATGCATTCTTCATAGAAGTCTTTGCTTCTTCTAAAAATATTAATTTTAACTCTATGTTCCATACCATCTTTTTTGACGAGAAGTCCCAAAAATCCTCACAAAAATCATAGTTATTTTAATTTGATTCATATCTTTTGGTGTTTTAGTAGTTTAAAGAAGTACAATTTTATTGTTATTTAGTTCAATGCTACAGAAAAAGTGATAATAAATTTTGTGCTTCTTTAATCTTAAATAATATTACCATAGATAGTTTTGATTTTTGGGAATTCGCGACTGTATTTTCATATTTTTTTATTTTTTCTTTAAATCAGTATGGAAATTTGGAACAGTATAAACGGGATTAACCATTTTAGAACAAGCAAAATTTTTCAATTCTCAAAAAGTGAATATTAAAAAGTAATATAATTTTATTTTTGAGAATATTTATTAATTTATTATTTTATCTTGCAATTTGATCGTAACATACTTTTATATAATAAACAACAGGTATCTTTAACTCTTTGTTTTTTATCTACTCTTTGTTTTTTTACAAATTCTATTTAAACAAAAACAAAAAAAACTGTTTCCTCTACCAGAGAAAATGTTTAAATATCCATTTGCTTGAATTCTATTTGGTATTTTCAGCTTAACAACACGGTCTTACCTTCAAAAATGGAGAAGAACGAGAAGAACCTTAAAAAACTGGCGAGACCAATCAGAAATCCGGGCCGAAAGTTCAGAAGCGCACCGAAAAAGTACCACAACAGTGCACGGATTCCCTGGCGGTACCCAAACCGTTCGCGTCAACCACCGAAATGAGGAGAAATGTATCCGCAGATTCGGATCTCAGCTGTATGAGCTGTAGAACCACGTTGCTCGTCGGCCGCGATTGAACAACGGATTGGATCGGATAGGTAAAACAACAACAAGGGAGGCCGAACACGGTTGGTTTTTGTAGGGAGAACGCGGTGAATGAAATGATTTGTGTGATAGCAGTCGCTTACCGGAGCGAGAGGTAGAAGATATACACTGCTCGCACTAGAAATAAGCCGACACTTATCTTAATATCCTAATTATTGTGAAGTACTTTAAGCCCTTATGGGATACAAACCTCGGAATTCATTTACTGTGAACGAATTTTTAAAAAACTTTTTGCGTTGTATTGTTAATAAGATATATTACAAAGGGTAAATTTAAATTCGTTGCTTTCACTTTAGTATTTATAAATACATACATAAATACACATATACAAATGCATACATACAGGATGGCTCCGTGTTCCGAAAAAGCTCTGTATCAGTATTTTCACTCCGAACCTTTTACAAAATATGTGTTTAAATGGTTTAATGGTAGTTCACATTTCAAAAATATTTTTATAGATATACAGGGTGAGTCAAATATATTTTTACACACTTAAATTTTAGTTTTTCAAATGAAATACTTTATATTTGTTTAGTTCAGTGAATTTGCTATAAAATTCCGGTTCCAAAAATACCTTAAAACCATAGAGTATACTAAGTGGTTTTTGAATTATGATCACAGATCACAGTCCATGAGGACATCAATCTAGACGTCCAGGAACCTTCGTATAAGAATTTCTAATCGAGACGATCGACTCATTGTAAGTTTATCGCTAAGAGACCTCCGTTTGCCACCTTTTCAAATTTATAATTAAATGAATTGTACGTAAGGAACGTACATATGAAGACTAAAAGAAGCAAATCTTATGTTAAGAAGGTTTGCTTCGGGAGCAGAACTTACTAGATCTATTGACTAGGCCCAAAAGCAAAGGCATGGTCTTAATGTAAAAATTACGAAAAATGTTAGTGTCTTCTTCAAAAGCGTATATCTCCAACAAAAATAAAGCCAAATAGGCGAACCAAATAACAAACTATCGAGAAAAGATGTATCTAGATGATAAAACAATTTTTAAATGTCTTGCTGTTTTAACATATTCCACAGGGTGTTTTAAACTTTTACTAAAATATCAACATTTTGTTTTCTCTGGTATCATTAACAGATGGAGTTTTATTTTTGATTTAGAAAGAGATACTAAAAAGTCGAATAATTTAGCTACATACTGCTTAAAAAATCATCAAAATCGGCCCACTAGAACAAAATACCGTATGATCGAGAAAAAACGGCGTCAGCGATGGCTATGGAATGAAGATCGCTCTCATTTTATATGTAAATTTATATGGGAAATGTCATTGATGTTCATTTCTCAGCCAACTGGACTCCGTTTTTTTTTGATCATACGGTATATTAAACATTAAAATACATCAAAGTTTTAAGGTGCCTATTTCAAATCTATACATTTTAGTCATATACTTTTCTAATGAAACTTGTCTTATTTTTTTACTAGAATCCGAAAATCTATTACAAAAAACCCGACTTTAATGTGTAACTTTTTTTGGAGATACCCTGTAGAACTCTAGATAATTTTAGACAATGCTTTGAACCGACTTACATAAGCTCACAAAATTTCACTTCAATACAAAATTTCGTTCTCCTTGCAAAAACGCCGTCGTATATGACGCGCCACCCTGTATAATTCGATTTCAATCAAAATTTCAATGATTAGAATATAAGCAGAATAGGTATAGCTTATGCATTAGATTCATTTATTTCAATAAATTTACTAAAACTACTAAAATAAAAAAATAAAAGCTACGAAATAAAATGGGTAAACTTTTAGTATTTTATCTATAAAACACAATACAGAAGGTTTCACATTAATACATTCCAGGGGTATACCTACATACGGGAGGGGAAGGGGGGTAATTACCCCTTCCAGGAAGAAATTTATAAATAAGAAAATCTGGTATAAAATAAAATTGTACAACCAAATAAATTAATAATATCAATCAAAATAGAAATCTATACAATCTAAGTTTATTTTTACTTCTATAGTCACAATACTTTTGAGCGAACATTTAATTTAAATCTATTACTTTGTTTAAATATTGCCACTAAGACTCAATCTGATACATTCACTCTAATATTTGCAAAAGTATAAACAGGATTAACCATTTTAAAACAAGCAATTTTTTAATGAAAAATGCATTTTTCCCAAAATATCCATAATAAATAAGATTTTCTCTTGTAAAGACAATCCAGGAATATACTGTATATCATACAATGTATAGTGTAGTACTTTAATATAGCTAATTTTGGAAAGAGCGTTATATAAAATATTTCCAGTTAGGAAATATAAATAATTTGGTATTTTATAATCTAGGGAGAGCTTTAAAGGTGCAGAAAATTTATTCTAAAAATGGTCTTATTTTAAAAACCTCTTGTTATAGATACGAAGTATGACATTATTATTATTATGCACGCAGGGCTAAGAAAATATTCAGTTTTCATTTAAAAACTATAAATTAATAAATTTAAAAATATAAATGGGAATCTTAAGATTTAATCATCTGCTGAATATGGTTAGCAAAACACGCGTCCAGTGCAAAAGTACCGTAAAATGGGGTTACTTGGGACGTCGGGGTTACTTGGGACGCAACTTCGGTTTTTCTAATTTAACTGGCGGGAACAACGCAAATATAAACAAAACCTTAATTTAATGTTTTGGTTCGTTAAAGAACAATGTGTTGATGATTTAATTAAACGAATTCTATATAAAGTGATAGTATTTTACTTATATAAAAAAAATAAATGGGTGGCGGGAAGCAAGCTAAAAATAAGTGGTCGAAAACTTTATCTATAAGAGGCAGTCAAAAAGTAAACAGGTAAGTCCAATTACATTTCTTAGTTAGTTTTTTATGTTTCATAAATAATACCAAAGTCATTGCTCGCGTTTAGATAATTTTTTAGATTGTAAAATATATTTTTTAAAAAAAGTCATGGTTTGGGGTAACTTGGGTCAAAAATTGTCCCAAGTTAGCCGTTGGCCCAAGTTACCCCATGTTATTTAATCGATTTTGTTTTCAGTGCTCCACATGCCAAGAAAATATATTCGCAAAGTAGGCTCTAAAAAAATCACGACTTTGAAGAAAAAAAATATGGAAAGTGCCATAGAAGACATACAATCTGTAATGTCCTATAGAACAGCGGCAGACAAATGGAAGGTAACCAAATCAACTTTACAGAGCAGTGTAAGAATCAGAATTTAGAAAGATAAGGAAGACCTATAGTTTTGAAAAAAGAGGAAGAAGACGAACTTATAAGAGGCAGTTTTATGAGAAAATCTACGAAAAACAACAAACATTTTGTGTTCCCAGATTTAGCTCATGAGTATGATATCACAGAGGATAAAATTGTGAGAATGTTAAAAGCAGAGGACGTGAGCATTACTAGAGGCCGCCATACATTTAATGGATTAAAAAATACTGGTTGGCTACAATAAAGAGAATGCAATAGATCTATTTTTCTTGTGTTTACAAAATGTTTTTTTTAGTTCCTTTTTGTCCTTACGATTCAAATCGTGACTTTGTTCCTATTATGTTTATTGAAGAAATTTTACATTTTCTAATGAATAAATAAATATTTCTAATAAGTTTACGCTAAATCGAGTTTTTCTTTCCTCTAAATAATTATCTGAGAAAAAAATTTCAACTCATGATGTGTGTTAGTGTATTCTTTTATTTTTTCTGCCGTCCCAAGTAACCCGTGAGTAGTTTAACATGCATTTTCGGTATAAAACCGTTACAGTCCCATTCAACCCCAATGCGGGGAAACTTGGGACAGTAAATATGTTAATTTTTTTTTATAAATATTCTTACATTAGGAGCCATTTATGATGCTTTATAGGTTAAATACATATGAAGGATTTTTTCTACACCTAAATTGTTGCTTTGTCTTCACAAAAACATTTATAAATTACCACATGACTAAAAAAATTATAGTGAATTTGTCCCAAGTAACCCCATTTTACGGTAAGTGTTTTGGTGTATCTATGTTGTACTAAAGGTTCTGATCTAATCTCTGGGAATCTTATATAGAAATTTTTCGAAACACTCTGTGTACTTATTTACTTTGGTCACACTGTATATGTTGAGTAGTGTATATTTAATCTTTTGTCCATACTGGTTTCTTGTAGAATTATACCGTCTAGAACACCAAACTCGCATGACTGGGAAGGAATGCATGCGTGCAGTGGGCCTCATTAAAAAAGGGCTGAAAAAAGCGATAAAAAATCTCGAAAGGCCTACTTTTTTAAGCAGGTGCATCTGTGCAGCACATTCGAGATATTTTGGGAATTCCAGTCCATTTTTCGACCTTATAAAAATAACTACCAAGTTAAATTTAATTATTTTTTATGTTAAAATATCGTATAATAAATACAAGCGTCATTTAAACTTTATAAATTATTTACAATTCATCATGCAACGCATTTTGATCCAGTACACTACTAGAACAATTAACCATATCAATATACATATAACTTCGATTATTATTAATACTATCATAATCAGCTGTTTTTTGGCTTCATTGTTTTTGCTAGTCTCGTAGATTTTCGCTTTTGGATCTGGTTCGTAATTTTCAGGAGAATATTCTCTGATCATAACTTTCAGTTTAAATTTTATTCTGATTGACGCTGGATTGACGTAAATTGTTTTAAAACCTATATAAATAGTTAGGCAACTTATAATACAGTGTTAGTTAGAATGTTTCCGTTGGCGACAATGACTGGCTGTATTATTGATTATTGGTAGCATTTCTTGTCTTGTCGTCTTGTCAACTTGTCAACAGTTGTCAATGTGATGTCAATGTCGTTTGGCAAAGTTTTTCTTGTTTGTGTCAACTTATGATTAATTTGTTTTTATAAACGTTTACATTCTAGAATTAAAGAAACTTTTTAAACTATGTGAGAAAGATAGTTTGAACAGACGATACTGCTTAGGAATAAACTAAAAAAATGGCCCCTTTACCGCTGGAGGGGTTACAAGCTCCAGTTGCAAACAGTGTAGGACAGAATGCTATTAGTGGGCCCCAAGAAGGAAATAGAGGTGGCATGATGTCCCTTGCCATGCTTATCGATTTTATTGTACAGAGAACTTACCATGAGTTAACTGTATTGGCGGAATTGTATGTGTTTTATTCATCATTAAAATAGTACAAGTTAAATCAGGTTTCGATTTTAGATTGCCCCGTAAAACTGATATGGAACGAAAAATTGAAATATATAACTTCTCAACTAGAACAAGGCAGTTGTTTGTAAGGCTTCTTGCATTGGTAAAATGGGCAAACAGTGCTTCAAAAGTTGAAAAATCTGCTGTATGTCATCTATACCATAAAAACTAATAAATACTGATTTATTTTAATAAATTTTTAGAGAATAATGGCATTCCTAGATAAGCAGTCGCTTCTTTTTGTCGAAACAGCTGATATGCTAGCTAGGATGGCTAGAGAAACCCTAGTACAGGCCCGTTTGCCAAATTTCCACATCCCAGCAGCAGTTGAAGTCTTGACTACTGGTACTTACGGAAGGCTTCCTGCATGTATTAGAGAGAAAATCGTTCCTCCTGACCCAATAACACCTCAGGAAAAAAGGAACACGCTTTTAAAGTTGAATCAGGTCATTCAGCATAGGCTTGTCACTGGAAATTTGTTACCTCAAATGAAGAATTCAAAGGTAAATTGTTGTTTTTTTTTATTTTGCAAAGTTGTTTAGGTTGTTATTTTTTTGTTTATAGATTGAAAATGGGAGAGTTATATTTCATGTTCAGCATGAATTTGAAGTTGCTTTAACTGTAATGGGAGATGGACCCAATATACCATGGAGATTGCTAGAAATTGATATTTTAGTTGAAGATAAAGAAACAGGAGGTACGAATATAGTAAATTTAAAAAATTTATTCAAAATTGTTATTTTTTTTTGTATTTAGATGGAAAAGCGTTAGTTCATCCGTTACAAGTTCAGTACATTCATCAACTTATTCAATCGCGTTTGGTTGATAATCCACAACCTTTAACTGAAGTCTATAATTGTTTACACTTTTTCTGTCAATCTCTACAACTTGAAGTATTATATTCACAAACATTAAGGCTAATGAGAGATCGGTTAGATGATCATATTCACGTAGACGAATATGTACCTGGAAGGTGTTTAACTGTATCGTACTGGAGGTAATTTTGTATTAATAAACTTATAATATGTAGTTTTTCTTAGTTTTATTTTATTTTAATTTTGTATTTAATCTATTTAGGGAACTAACAAATAAGGGCAAAGAACTAGCAAATAAAGACTTAAGATCTGAGTTAGGTTATAAATTAACTATTCAGGTGGACCAGCATGATCCTGCTCGACCTTTGGCAGTACTTCACGTACCTTCTCTTGGAAACAAGGTAAATTTATCTGAAAAAATGACCCTGTAAATTATCGGACCCTTAATCAAAAAATACCTTGTATAATGTTTTAAGGAATCTGAAATAGCTGATAGGGCAATAAGAAGTGAAATTTTATCAATGGAAAGGTTACTGGTTCATACGATTTATGTCAGAACTAGAAGTAGATTAAGTGATATAAAATTGGAGCTTCAAGGAATGTTAAAAGATGTTGAATGTAAGTTAATTATTTTTTTATTAATATAGTTTGTATTAAAACATTTGATTTTTAGGTACATTACAAGGGTCTCCTGCTATTCTTTCCGTAGCGATTTTACAGCCATGTTTAAGAGCTGAACAACTACTTATTACTGTCGATACTCATACAGGGATGCTCCAAAGTCACGTGCCAGAATATGATCCACCTTTGATACCAGAAATTAATAACGTTTTGAATGGAGATCACTCAAAACTTCCCACATATATATCTGAATTAAGGTAAAATTACCGTTTTTTTTTTCTTAAATTAAAAGTGTTTGAGTTGATAATTTTATTTTTTAGATATTGGATTACTAAGAGGCGATGTGAGAAGACTTTGCAACATTTGCCAGCTACTGCACATGAGCATTTACCACTGTTGCATGTTCCCGATCATCCCATTACTAAAATAGGCAGCCATCATATGTATATCCAGTTGCATAGACACACGAATGTAGTTCTGGTAAGTTTTTTTTAATTTGAAAAATATATTTTTTTATACTATTTTTGGTTTACCCTTTTTTTTAAATGTTTTTATGGTTTATTTTTTTTTATTTTGTTGATTAGTTATATTTTTGTTTTGATTTAATGTTAATGTATGTATCTTGTGTATTTTTTTAGATATTTTTTTTGTTTGTTTTTTGAAATTAAAATCGAATTAATACAGCATTGTTAAAACATATTTTTATATGATTACTGTAAAAATTTAAATTTATTTTCTTATGTTTGGTCTGTTCAAGTTAATACAAATAAATAAGTAAATGTTTATTAATGGACAAGCCAATATTTACAAAAATAAAAGATGAAAAAATACAATAAACATAACAATAATGAAAAACACAATAAACAACAGTAGCCCACAGCAGCAAAAAAACGCCACAACAACAGCTATATAAAAAATCATTTTTCTCACTCTATAATAAAATTCTAGACATTTTTTTTCAGTATTCAAATGAGTTTAATTCTCAAAATGAAGGTAAAAAATTTCGACACATATACTCCAAAGACGCTGACTCTTGGCTGAGAACACCATATTTCGTCTCCATTTGTTTTATTCCTTCGTAAATTTAACTAAAGTGGTTGGGCCCCTGTATCATAATAATATAAATCTTACCGAGAATTTGTGGCATACGTCACCTTAGAAGATAATGGCTTTTTTTTTAAATCTGAAACCCTGTTCTACTTCTGTATAACTAAAATTTCTTCTATGGTTAGCGCATTTTTATAACATGTTTACCTTTATTACTGAAGAGAATTTAATATCCAAAAAAAATCCAATTTTTATTTATTTTTTCAGATCGTAGAAATTAACGAAAAAGAAAACAGTCCTTGCGAAATCGATTGTTCCTTCTATATGTGCGTGGTAAAGCATTCAAGCATCGATGACAATCCTAACGACGAATCGATAGAGACCGAGATACCAAAAGTATTTTTAAAAGTTCAAACATTAATTGAATTCGACACTTTCGTTGCCACTCACGGACCATTTACTTCCATCGATGGTAAAATTGTTATCTTTTACAGTATATCTTTATTATTTTACTTTTTCTTCCCCTTTATTTAGGAAGTCTAGATGCCGATCATACCGAACCAAACTCGCTAAAAAGAAAAGGTTATCTTAAACCCGAGTCGGCAACAAGAAGATCAAAACAGCCGGCCTATTTTATTGCCGAACTAGCTCACGTCGTTGCCATGTGCGACGAAAGACTCCCATACGTCACCCTAGCAAACGAACTAACGAAAAAGAACGTCTTCCACCAAGGCCTCCAAGTCGAAGCCAACGCGACAGGCCTTCTTTTGAAACTCATACAATTACCCCCACCAACATCAGAAGTGGGACATTCACCCGCCTGGATGGCACTACTAAAACGCCTCCTGTCGGTGTCGATCAGAGTTTTAATCAAGGGAAACATCAAAAGTTGGGTGGTTGAGTTTGTTTTTTATTCAACTCCATTGTCGAGTACCCACGCGAAGGAACAAGGTTCAAGAAGACCAATTTATTTTCAGTATGAAATGACAACTATCGATCAAACGTCAAAGACAGTGGATTGTTTGTTAAGTGACTGGTGGCAAATTGTTCATTTGTACACAATAGTTCATGATTTGAGCGAATATTTAAAGGTGGACAAGTACAGTTATTTGGCGAATTTATTTTCAATTAAGTCCTATAACTATAGTAAGCTGGTATTGTGTTACGGTCCAGAAAAGGGAGCTATGGTTTCGATTGTTTGGAACAGCCAAGAGAAAGTTTTTAGGTTAACTTTCGGCGCGATGCATAACTCACTAAACGCGCACTCATTAATCCAGGAACAACTGGAAGCACACTTAAACGAACACAGGAATTTAGCTCAAATAATCCAGCTTTTAACTGAAACCTATGAGGCGTTGTTGTCGATTAGTAAGCTTCCGACGTTGCCGCAACTGGGGGTTCATAATAACCGACCCAAGGTCCCCGTGCAAACGTTTACAATTATGGCGCAGTCTTGCACGTTGATTCGGATCGCGTTCCAGGGCATGTACTGTTTGGAGTTAAGGATTAGGGGGGGAGGTTTGGTGTCCCTAAGGGACGGAGCCTACAGTCGGTTTGAAAGAAGTAACGTTGTTGACGTTTTTAGTCCTACACCGGGTTTGAAGACGTTTTTATCCAAGTACGTCGATGAAAGTGCTGTTTTTAGGAGGAGGAGTCAGAGTGAAGACGATAACCCTCCCAGTCCTATGGAGATAGACGGTGGGGGTAATTTTCTGGGCCCTCTACGACCTCCTCAATCCCCCGCGGGGGGAACCCGCTCGGAACCAGGACTACGTTTCCATCCGCCCCTAACACCGCCCTCAGGCTCTAATCCTCACACTCCTGCATCACCTCACACGGCTAATATACCACAAAATCATCCTAACTTCGGTTCAAGCCCTGCAACGTCTTTTAATATGGCTTCCCCTACGTCTTTGTCGGCGAATATCAATCCTAGTCCCATGCCACACCCCAGTCCAAGCTCTGGATTGGTACCGAACTCCCCGTTAAATCCACAATTAGCCAGTCCGGGAGGATTATTAAGTAATTCAAGTCCCGGGCCTCAGGGGGTGAATTTACCTGGACATTCGCCTGTAGGGAGTTATATTCCTTCGAGTCATACTGACGGAAGTCCGTTTCCAGCGTCTCAGAGTCCGGCGGCTTCTAATTGGCCTGGATCACCGAGTATGCCTAGGCCGTCGCCTGCTAGAGCTGGGCAGTCTCCCGGGGGTCCGGTGATGCACAGTCCGCAGCAGATCGACTTGAAAACGAACCATTTGACGAGGGTTTTGCCTCAGAAGTCGTGGGCTGGGGCTGTGCCGACCCTACTAACTCACGAGGCTTTGGAATCGTTGTGTTGTCCGTCTGTTCATCCTCAGTGTATTCCAGGTAAGGATACTAACGATATTTTGATACTGCGGAAGTATCGATACTTCTATGGTGGTATTGAGAGCTTTTCGTTTCTATATTTTTAGAGCGATTCCAAACTGGTATCAATAGTTTCCTGATAGTGACAAATAAAATTACGATTGTCGGTCTTTCAATATTGTTACCTAATAGTATCGGTACTTTTTATTAATCGATATCGGTACTTTTTATTATCTTGACATCCCTAGATATAACTTCTCTACATTTTAAGTTACTTGATAAATTACCCAATTAGGTGATTGGTGTATATTCTATCATAAAGACATAAAAAACATAGAGCTCTTATATAACAGTTGTAACACAAATTCTAAAAGCCCGACTTTCAGTTTTATTTTTTTAAAAATTACTAGAGTATCGATACTTTTTAGGTATGTACCGATTTGAATCGATACTTGGCAAAAAGTATCAATAACAATCGATATTGCCAAAAAAGTATCGATAATAATGAATCAGAAAGTATCGATATCCTATGTAACAGTTGTAACAAACGTATAAAAAAATCAGACTTTCCGCATTTTTATTTGAAAAAAATATGAAAAACTTTGATACCGATATCTAAGAGGCTCTGTAATAAAAAAAAGTATCGAATTCTGTGTAACAGCTTTTTATAAATTTTTTAAAAATTTAAAAACAAATTAGCATTTATTGTAAAAAAGATGAGAAAATTGTGCATATAGGCATGTATTGATAAGAATAGATACTTTGCAAAAAATGTGTCGATATCGATATTTTTTATTACCTCCCATCTCTACTTCTAGGACCGGAAATGAGCTCACTGGAAAGGTTCTTAGGCTGCGTCTACATGAGACGACAACTACAACGCTTCATACACACCGAAACCTACTTGACAGCGATCCCCAACAACGAACCCGGCGTCATTCACTTCAAGGTCAACGAAATGTTGCAGTGTCGCATAGGATTAAACACTCAACACTTGCAAAGCCTACACATTAAGATCACTCAACTTCCCGAGCATAAGGACGTGTGGTCTATGGAGGAAATTCAAGTGTTGGAGAGGTTTTTCGAGACCAGGGCTGCGGCTCCTCCCTACAAGCCTACCTCGACGTTTACTTTTTGTAGTATGCTGAACTGTCCGCCGAATGTTTTGAAGGATTTCATTCAGATCATGAGGTTGGATATGATGCCTCAGTTGGCGCAGCAGCAAGGGATGAAGTGGTCTGTCCAATGGTTGTTAAGGATTCCTCCGAATGCTATTCCGATAGTACCGACCGGTACTCAAGGCGTGTTAGCCTTCAGGAATAAGATATTATTCTTTGTAAGTTTATTTATTTTTTTATAATTTTTTAAAGATAAGAATGCGAATTTTTGTTTTTTATTTTTTCTTGACAATTTTTTTTTGAACATTCTATATTATTAGCCTCCAATATTTACTCTTGTCTTTCAGATACAAATAACAAGGTTAGGCTACCCATCTAACATGGAACCGCCCTCTGTGTGTCTTCCTCTAATATACGACATAGCTGGCAATATAACTCAGTTAGCCGAAAAACGGGAATCCGGCTCTGTTCCCGCGATGACAGCCGCCAGTCAACTACTCAGGCATTTCTGTCAGATGCAGGTATGCATTAACTTTAATTCTGTAAACTCTATATTTTTTATTTTGTCTGTGTACAGTGCATTCAATTTTGTCCCGGTTTTGGCTGATTATATTTTTTTTTTTTATTTTTATTTTTAAATGTAGAACATTCATTAAAAAAAATAATTAAATTGTCTAGTTTTCAGTCAAGTTTTTTGGAAATTCATTCAACATGTTAGGCATACATGTTTATAAGATATATTTAAAACTTGTTTATAAAACAAAATGTTTAACATATAACATCTCTGACGTTTTATGTATATAGGCTGGATCAATGGAATGTACAGTCTATCCAGCTCTAAGAGAACTACTTCTAAATTTGACACTTCCCACCGATCCTCAACAAAGTCCGGGTCAGCAGATTCAGTCCCCAGGCATGCCTCTGCCAGGTCAAGGGGGAAATCAGGGATACCAACCCCACATGCAAGTGGGCATGATGGGTCCGCAATAGGTTGCTGGAGTCTGATGTGTTTCAGTATCATGTAAATAATTCGTTATAAATATAAAGCTATATGATTTATTATAGGAATGTTTTTTCTTGTTTTTATTTTCAGAATATGTTATTTAGTTTTCTGTAGAGAATGTGATCAGAGGTGTGTTATGAGAAAGAAGAAAAAAATAATGGTAAAGATTTTTAATTTTTTTATAATGTTTGCTAGGGATGGGCGATAATGGATATTAAAACTACAATAAGTTATTGCAATTCACCTATAGATAAATTTTAGTTACCGATATGTCGTATATAACGATAGTTTTTGTCCATCCCTGATCCTAAGTATCTAGTATAAAAAACAGTCTTATGAAATTTTAAGGAAAAATAAATTTCAGTATTGTCGATAGATATTTGAACATTTCAAAATTAGTGTATAAAAGGTATATTTTCAGTTTTCCTTAAAATTTCATAAGACAACTTTTTTACTTAGGTTTAGACATCGATATTATAATTATAGATATATCGAAGAAAATATCTTAAAACTATCGATAATTATCAATAAACCCACAACTATCGGTAATTAGATATATCGATTGGTGAATTGCGATAACTTATCGATAGGTAAAATCCATTTTCACGCATATCTAGTACATAGTCTGTGGTATTCATTGGGTCAGAATTGAAAGATTTCCTTCAATATGAAGGATTTTACAGTCAAATTTGGCGTCTTGCACGATTAATTATTCTCGGTTCAAGCAGTCATTGAGTGCAGTGGCAGTGGATTAGTAAGCAATGAATTTTTTGAAACATACTTTATAATACTGCTGTCGAGTATCTATCACAGCATTTTTGATCTTGTTATTTTTTTCATGAAAAGTTTATCTAAATATATCGGTGTACAAAAATTACCAGAAATAAGTTTTTAAAAATGTTCTCCTAATTATTAAGTAAGCAAAATACACGAAATTTGGTTATTCTATGGTTTTTCAGTGACAGTTCAGAGGAAGGAGAAAGGCAATAAAACCAAAATAGTTTTCTTAAATTTATTTATTTGGGATTCCTCAAACGTTTTAAACAACGATTTAATCGCTTACACAGTAAAAAGTAAACGTTTAAAAAATATGTAAACACTTTTCAACAATTTTTTCTTCAATTTTAAAAAATCATCAGAGCGATAGCGCAACTTTATATAATGAGAAAATCCGAAAATAAACACATTTAAAAATGAGGGAAAAAACTATAAAAATATTGCGTTATATCAATATTATCAATCGAACTTATATAGACATATTATTAATAAAAACGAGAGACGATATCTTTTTAAGCCTTTTACAATAAATAACGGTTAATAATAATTCACACTGATCAGTCTTTCGAGCGAAGTATAGGGGGAGGGGGCGTGGTAACTTTTACGACTTTTCCGGTTCAGAATGACAAATAAATGACACTTTCTGCGCGTCCGCAATCAGCGGCACGGAACAATTTGACAGACTTTCTGTTGAAGCTTGTTTTGACATTTCTTCATTTGACAAATGTTTGTCAACGCTAGCCTCCGACGAAGCAGGTCTCAGCTGACATATCACGATGTTCTGCGTTTCTTTTATCAGCGGTTTGTCCAGCGTCTCGTTGGACACTTCGATGATGGTCTTGTCATCCAGACTTTTCGTGGCCGGCTTGCACTCGTTGATCGAGTGAAAGAACTGCGACCGCAAGATGGCGGCTTGGGAGGCGAACTTGCGCGGCGGTTTGTTGTCTTCCATGTCAATGTAGATGCTGTCGTTGGACAGGGTGTCTTGCAAAGGGGACGCTTTGCCTACGGTGGGTTTAGAGCAGCGCGCTCTGAAGCTGCAGCTGCTACCGATGCTCGTTTTCTCCGCCTGGTTGGCTCCCATGAAGCTGATGTTGTCGTCGAATCGGACACGTTCTGAAGTACAGTCTTCGGTGGTTACACAGCTGCAAGAATCACTGCCGTTGGCGGTCTGAAAGAAAATGTTTTGTATTATTGTGTACATAGGATTTATAATACAATGATATTTTGCCTATGTTCAATTTCGTGTTGCTTGATATAATGAGGCAAATTCTAAAAACATGAATTCTTGAACATAGGATTTCTAACAGAATTATATTCCTCCTTTGTTCGCCTCTGTAATGTATGATGTAATGGGGCAATACTAAAAATATGAATTTTCGAACATAGGATTATAACCATGATATTCCTATATGTTCAGGGGAACATAGGAGGTATATCAGGAGAGCTATATTGTCTCTGTTGCCTGATGTAGTGAGGCAATAATAAAAATATGAATTTTGGAAGTTCGAAAATTCATATATTTTTTCCTGAGATGATATGATATCTTCCTATGTTCAGGTGATCGTAAGAGGAATATCGGGGGAGCTATTGTCTCTGAGATCTAAATGTCTCTGTTGCCTGATGTAATGAGGTAATACTAAAAAAGTATACGCTCTAGAACATAGGCAATAATAACAAAGTGTGATTTTTCGTCATATATTTGTATGATTTAATATACATTTAAACTATGAATACAGCGTTTGAGACAATATTTCTTTTATGTTCACTTCTTCGTTACCTGATGTAATGAGATAATGATAGAAAAAATACGAATTCTCGAACATAGGATTAATAAAAATTATGTTCATGTTATGTTCAGGTGAACATAGGAGAAATATCAGGAGAACAATACACCTATCGTCTTACATGGGACATCATGTATATTATCATAACACGTACCTTGTAGTTCATCAGACTACCGGCCAAGGCTCTGACACTGGCACCGCCATCATCCAAAATAATGCTCGCGTTCACCGACTCGGTTAAACTGCTCAAACTCAAGCGCTGCGTGGACACCAAGTCCGCTTGAACTTCCAGACGTTGAATAGCTTGGTGCAAACTCCCAGCCAACCCAACCTATCAAAACAAAGTCTAATAAATAAAAAAACTAACAAAAATCGCAATCCTCCTTACCGTGCTCGCGCTTTCTCTATCTACCTCCCTTAGCTGCACCTGGCTGCCGGAAGCCATGCTGAGACTGGCTTCGCCGATGCTGGGGTTCACCGCGTCCTTGGAGCTGACGGCGTCCACCGAGGATGTGTCGGGAGCATCGGGGGTGGGCGCCTCGTCCGCGGCGGGGGATCCACCGCAGCCTCCGCTCCTGCACAGTGACACCGGCACCACGCCGTACACGTAGAACAAGAGGATGGGCACGCCGATGCCCACGGCCAGGCCGGCTAGTAACGGCGAAATCATCACCTGCAAAAGAATCACAAAATGAGTGCCTACTATCTAATATAAGAGTTATTATTTATCCTATGTTCTCCCCTCTGTTGCCTGAGGCAATGACAAAAAGTATATACTCTTGAACATAGGATTTATAATACAATAATAATTCCCCTATGTTCATGTAAATGGCGCGTGATGTAACCCGGCTAAAACACTATTTATCCTATGGTCATCTCTCTGTTGCCTCAAAAATATGAACTCTTGAACATATGATTAAAACCCCAATGATACTAGTTCTATGTTCAACTATGTGCTGATTGATGTAATGAGGCGATACTAAAAATATTGATTCTTGAACATAGTATTTATTTATTACACTATGACCTTCTTCCTATGTACCTCTGCAATGCCTGGTGAAATAAGGCAATAATAAATACTAAAAAATATGAATTCTCCGAAATTCATCTCTGCCTTGCCTAAAGTAATGAGATGAGGCAATATTGAAATTTTCATGTTTTGAACATAGGATTTATAACACAAAATATAGGGTTTCTAACAGTAATATTACACAAATAATGAAATAACAATAAAAAAAATCAATTTGAAATGTAAAATAGAAGGAAGCAATACGAAATTTAATATTAAAAATTAACTTATCTTCAGTGTCCCAGTATGTGACATAGACAGTACATATATCATCCACATAAATCACTTTTTTTTCTTCTACCTCAAGCGAATAACTTTCCCAAATATATATTTTAAAAATATTGTGAAATATTTATTTTTATCATATTATTTTTTATATACTTATTTAAAATCGTATAAATTTAATTAAAATATTGTATGACCTTTAGTCAGAACTGTAAATGCACCTTTTCTGTACTTTTAACAGTGCACAAAAATCGATACTCTATTTTCTAGCATAAAATCATTAGAGATTACTTAGTGAGAAGAATAAAAAGACACAATGTACAAATTTAAAAAGAGACAGGATATAGTTGAGACAAACTAGGAAACGCTGCGTCGCAGGAACAAGACCCAACGGTAAACTAATTAACCCATCTATTTTATTTTGTACGTCGCCGTCCCGTTTCCGTCTAGCCCTTTTGTCCTTTTATGCTTTCGTTGCCAGTGTGCAGTCCTGCAGCGTCTGCCCGTTGCGCCCTTTTATTCCGCCGTTGCCAAACGTACTAATTTATCATAAAGTTCAAGGAAAGAAAAATAGTAATGTAATAAACATTCCTTTAGTCCATTTTTTTTTTCATTATTAGACATTTTTTGGGCAAGTTGCATGATGTCCCATTTTTGTCCCAGGAGTAGAAGTATAAATATGCGGTTTTCACAACATGTGATACTTTTAAGTGAAACTAGATGCTACACACAGATTTGTCCTAGCCCTTTCAGTTCCTGAATTATAGGGCGAATTTGAAATTGTTGCATTTTTCGACTTCCCTCGTACCTCGGTTATCTTAGAACTTATCGAAAAGTTGAAAACTGAATCCAGTAGATTTTTTTAGTGGAATCCAGTGGCGTAACTATTTTTTCGCTGGGTGCTGTCGTTTTCGAAATAAGATTCGAAATTATGTTTTTTTACAGTTTCAAGCGAAAAAACTAGATACGCCACTGGATTCTACATAAAAACTCTACGGGACTCAGTTTTCACCTTTTCGATAAGGTATAAGATAACCAAGATACAAAGAGGGTTAAAAAATACAACATTTTCAAACTCAACCTGTATTTCAGGAACTAAGAGGGCTAAGTCAAATCATCTCTTGGTGCATCTCAAAAGTGGCCACCTCTATAACTTTTTTATTTTTTTAAACCAAACAACGAGATTTGGTATGTTTGTAGTTTGTATATCACAACTTTTAATTTTTAAATGGCACCCTCGGTATTTTTTTTTTACTTTATTCGATAGAAAATGACACTCTGAATAGAATGAATAGAATGACATACCATATGTCAACTTTTGGCATTTTCGCCTATGGTTTATTTGAAATTGTAACATGCGGTCCATGACGACAATTTGACTCGAAATACCAAGTGTGTGGTATCAAATTATTTGTAAAAAAATGCTTTTTGCAAACAAAAATACGATTAAGCAGCTTTTAACGGGCCAGGACAAGACACTAAAAACATTAGACGATCAAATGTATTTTTCCAAGGCTCCTTAATTAAAAATTAGTGTTTTTAACACAACATTGGGACTAATTGAAATTTAAAATACAATTTGTTTTTGAGCAAATATGTCAAAAGTTGTCGATTCAGAGTGTCATTTTCTATCGAACAATGTAAAAAAATACCGAGGGTTCCATTTAAAAATGAAAAGTTGTAGTCATTTCCGGTGAAACAGGAAGCGACCGAAGACAATTGAATACGTCAATCAATCCTAATTTATGTCATATACTAACATACCAAATCTGTTTTTTTTATCTGAAAAAATAAAAAAGTTATAGGGGTGAGCCACTTTGGAGACGCACTCGGTATATGTAGCGTCTTTAGTTTCAGAACTAAAGTAAAACTTTAGTTTCAAAGTAACACGTGACGTGAAAACCGCATCTTTGTACCTCTCCTCGTAAACGAGAAACCCTGTCAAACACACGAAAATGAGACACCATGTACACTTGTCTAAAAAATGTCTAATAATGAAAAAAAAATTCAATTTTAGATATTAATATCAATACATGGCATAATTTTATCGATATTAGTGATGTATCGCACCGAAAATATCGATACAAAAAATCTCTAGTATGGAAAATCGTATCGTGAAAACATCTCTAATCCAGACTACACCTTAATGCGACGAATTCCCGTCCCCCTTGCAGGAGATTAAGCTGCTGTCGGGCCAGGCCTGGCCGTAAATATGACAACAGCGCAACTGAAGCAGCGGTCTCGCGCCCCGTCTAGTCGCAGGCAGATTCCAGTCGAGGCTCCGGGCTGGGCGTCTCCAGGACAGAGTCCAACGGGTGTCCAAAACATAAAAAGTCGTCCAATTCGGCATTTTTTCGCGAATAATCGTGTATTTTGGACAATATGTATAGTTCAAAAAATTTAACATAATACATTTTTGTTTGTATTGGGTTTATGTCTTTAATATATCAAAAAAATTAAAATATTGTGCTACAAATTAAGGTAAATAATAAAATAACATGTGTGATTTATTTTTTTGGTCCACTTCGAAATAATTCTTTTTATATTCCTGCGATAAAAAAAACATAGGGTTGTATCCAAATTTAATGTTCAAATTTTTGTTAATAATTTTAAATTCTTTCTGCAATATGATTTATGAAAAAGTGTTTTAAAAGTTTGTTTAAGAGATTTCATTATTTATTTCATTTAAATATAATCATTTCTAGGGACAGGGAATAAAGAATTCGATATTTTACTCATTAAAAATTTCGTCTAACAATATAAAGAAAGAATAATTATTCTAATAAAATAATAAATATTTTAGCTTCTTCAATAGCTAGCGGGGAATGTATTTTAATAAAAATATCATTTTATTCTGAATTACCACCTTTTTTGTCTGAATTTTAATGACGTTAACATCAGTTTTTTAACAAATTTTAAATATTTATTGAATTATAAGGTATCTCACACCTATCTCTAAAATAAAAAATAATGATTAACTAGCTAATAAAAATAACACAATAAAACATATTATATACACCATTTACACCAACCATTTCATAATATTACATAAAAAACCTTTACATTATGTAGATTTGTTACGCTATGTGGACATCATCAGTAGATGATATCGACACAACTTTATAAAATAATAGTTCAGGATGTTCAGTTGTTTTTTCATGTATAAAAATAAAAAAATATCACAAAAGATATCACAAAGAGAAGTTACAGTGTTTTTTATTGAGATGCTTTTTTCCTTTTTTTTAAATTAAATGTAAATTTTTTTTTTGGCTTATTGCAACTTTTAAAAATCGAGTATTTTTGCATAGTTTCATAAAATAACGTAATTTTACAAAATTGAGTAGACGTCAGTTCTTTAATAGGTCTTTTAACTGACTGTAGTCGGGACTTAAAAAAGTAGAAATCTGTAATAAACACATTAAAATTGCAAAAAAAACAATTATAATAATTCCATTTGTTTGTAATTAGTATAATAATTGTTTATACTGTCCGACACTACATGTTTTAACTAACTCTTTGTTTTAATTTCATTAATATTCAAATAACTATCCGCAAATTATTTTTTTATATACCCGTGTTAGAAAAACCTCCCGTATTTATTGTTATAAAACAATAAATAAATTAATCACGTTCATGATGTTTTAGAATTTATAAAACACAGCCACACCCAGCGGAACTAGTTATTAAAAGTAATTATCTGGTAATTAGTTAATCAAGCAATATCACCAAGAAATTAAGTGGTATAAATTATACTTAATCATGAAGAAATTGTCAAAAAAACTGTATTAAAAATTAGTTAAAATTTGATTTGAACAGAAACACTTTTTAAATAAAAAAAATAAATAAAAGCACTTTTAAAGTGTTGGCAAAGATCAAAAATTATTAAAAAAAATAATTTTTTATCTCATCAAGGAGATCGAAATCGACAAAATATCAAGAGAACTTTTAATCGGCATTAAAAGTATGGAGTGTAGAGATGAGGAGAAATATCTCTTATGAGACTTTATTTAAAAAAGTGGTCACAAAAATGGGAAGAATAAGGGTTCACTAAATAACCACAGTGGCGCTAATAACGCATAAATCTAAAAAATGAAAAGTAACCATAGATAAGAGAATAAAAGTAACATAACCAAACATTACCCAAAAAACCTTTGTTTTTATTTTTTAGAATATAAAACAATTATTTTATATATTAGAAGCTCAGTCTATTGCTGCTTAATAAAAATAGATAATTTATTTCGTGTGACATGAAAATAAAATTTGTATTTTTTTGAAACCCGCGCCTTCACGTCAAATATTTATCTCTTAAGCGCATATTTTAAATTTTAGGTTTTTACTACATCAGCACCATCTTAAGTCATCCTTTTTTAATGACCCCCATTTTTTAATGCACGAAGATATTTCTCCTTACACCTCTACACGCCATAATTAAAAGGTCTACACAATTTTGCTAACAAGAAAAAAAGTCAATGGCGTACATTTTTTAGAAAAATATTCCAGTCATAACACATGTCTCTGGTAAATATTTCTGCAATTTTTTTAGCATTAAAATATGTCGCACATATAGTAACTTTTACCCTCAATATTTCATTCGAATCGCTAAAACCACTCGGAAGAAAATTATTATAATAAATCGATAAAAAAAATGAAGACTAACCCCCTGTATCTACAAACCAAAACAGAATCGGACCTATGTTGATATAAAAAATAAATCTTATTTTTACGTAAACACCCTGTATATTCTGGTAATATAGGATCAGAACACTTGTAGTATGTCCGACAGCGAAGAAGAAAGCAGTGGCGCTACTAGTACGGGTCCGGATTGGCCAGTCACTGAAGAATGGCTTCAAGCAGTGCTCAAAGAACATCACAAAGATCTATCGGAACCTTCAGCCATTGTGGTACTAGATTTCAGTGTAAAACCCGGCTGCGAGACTGGAGAAAGCGTACTGTCTGATATTCTAGCTGTTACTGTCAAGTACTGTCTAAGGTAAGTCATATCTGACAGTTAACACAGTGTCATATTATATAATGTATCTCTGTAATTAAATTCAAGTTTCTATTTACTATTTATAAAAAATAATTTGAAAATAACCAAGTTATGTAACATTGTTTTTTTTTTAAATAATTCTAACATTTTGAGAACCACCGGTTTCAACCGGCTCCCAGTTTATTTGACGTCTTGATTTGTCACATATAAAAGAAAGTATAGACTGAAAGTACTTATACAGGGAGCGCCATTTAAAAAAAATAAATTTTCAGTCATATTTCAAAAATGACAGAACTCAGCAAAAGAATAGTTATGCCACTGGATTCTACGTGAAAAACTCCAAGGAATTCAGTTTTCATCTTTTTGATAAGTTAACCAAGATACGAAGTGGGTCAAAAAATGCAACATTTTAAAATTCGCCCTGTATTTTAGGAACTAAGAGGGCTAGGACAAATCTGTGTGTAGCATCTTTAGTTTCATAAAAAAGTAGCACAGTGATGTGAAAACCGCACCTTTGTATCGATACTCACAAACGAGAAAACCCTTAAAACTCACGAAAATGGGACATCCTGTACAGTGCGTTTTTCTAGAATTATTAGTAATACCACTGATAGAATTAAAATTAATTTTTGTAATGTACTGTGTAGAAAAATAAGATTACTGTGAGGTTATATTATATAACAACAAATATGTAGAATGTGGGCAATGTAGGAGATGGCAACACTGCAGCGCTTCGATAGGTTACAATAAAATAAATCTGCAGCACTAAAAAGTTTTTAAAATAGCCAAAAAATGTCATGAAAAATGTAAAATTTTCAACAATTTCTTTTTTGCTAAAAAAAAAACTTAAAAGGTGCACTTATTTAATAGACACTCTGTATATTATATGTCGCATTCTGAATAGAAAAATGAATATAGAATGTTTTTTAGAGACGATCCAGGTGGTACAGCACACAGTCTAAGCTTCATTATCAAACTGCTACCACAAGATCCCTTCAGTAGGTACTTCGTAACGGAAGCCCAATTTGACTTGAGGGAAATAAAATTTTACACTCAAGTAAGTATAGATACTATTTTGGACCTTTTAAAATTACAATAAAAAATCCTACTGAAAAAATACATAATATTTCTATAAGTAAGCAACAGAAAATATTCAAGTCAAATTATGCCTGTTAATGCCAATTTAAAAAACTAACGACATATAAATATTAATAAAAAAAAGGCCGGCTTAGTTGATTGATGACATGACGAGGGTTATGCGAATAAAACCATTCATGACTCAACATTTAGCGTGAGCTGAAATAATTAAGTAAATATATTCAGACCTATATTAATTGAGGAAACATGTAGAAGAAAATAAAATTTAGAATTAAAAATGTATACATTGTTTTTCTATTTTTAGAAAAACACATTAAAAACGAAATATAACATTTACTTGAAATGTCTACTTCCTCTAGGTTGTACCAGATTTGGAACAGTTCAAAAACGAAGTACTATCAGAAGACACCTCCCCGGACCTGGTACTACCCATCCCTAAATGTTACTACGCCCATTACAGTCCAGGAGAAACAGAACCTGAACCTACACCACCATCATCCGTCCTAGTACTAGAAAACATCAAACCCAATGGCTTTGAATCGGCTGATTTCTCCAAAGGTTTAGACCTAAGACAAGCTAAAGCCGCTGTAGAGGCTATTGCGCAAGTGCATGCCCTGTCACTCACTCTTAAGGTAAATATGACATATACATATAATTAATACTCCTATAAGGGCTATAGTACAGACTTTAAGACAAGAGAATGCGACGGTAACAACACATGCAGAATGCTATAAACAAGGAGAGATAGAGGATATCAAAATCAACCTATCAACTATTATACCGTGCTGGCAACTCTTACTTTTGGGTCGGTATTTACATGTGTGGAAGTAAATCGCATAGGGATCTTATTAAGTCGGAGTGAGAGAAATGCGACGGTGTGCTGTTGCGGCGTTGCAACATATCTCCGGTACGCCTTTCCCTATCAAGTAAAGTAAAATCACGATCGCAAACCGCTTATTTTTAAAAGACTTCGGAAAAGTTCGGATCTTTTTCAAGATGTTTAAATAAAGAAAAATTTGATAGACTTGTTTTTTTTTCATTCAAAATTTAAAAAAAAACATACATCATGTAACTTTTTTATTTATGAAGATTTTCACATACTTTCTGCGAAGAAAATATAGCAAAAATATTAGGAAAGTTTTTGAAAAAAACTACAATCAATTGTTTCTAATGGATTTCGAGATATCGATTTTTGAATTTAGAGTTCTAATAGCGCGACCACTGTCGAACACCAACTCAATTGCAATTATTTTTATCAAAAGTGCAAGTGTTTCTAACTTGCACTTAAAACTTTACAAGCTATAGGGAAAATTATGACTCGTTAATAAATAAACAAATAAAGTATCACGAGACGCAATTAAATCGTGAAGCTGAACACATGATGCACCACCCTTTTCTAGAATTTTAAGTACTGATTGGGTCGACCGGTCGACCGCGACGAATGTGCTATAACCCCTTCCACGTCTCTTAGCAATGTCCACAGTTTCTCGGTTTAATTCATACGTTTGGCAACGTTTTTACTGTTCTCTCTCTGTTCAGTATATTATAAACGCATTGTATTCTTCTTACATACGGAAATCTCGACCCAAGACTAACCTTTGCCAGTCTTTAGTATACTCTAGAAATAATAACAAAGATTGCTCACGCTAAAACCCTTTGTTTCAGATCAACGAGGGTAAACCTTTATCCGAAAAATACCCTTTCTTATTCCAAACGTCACGAGCCTCAGATTCCTACCAGCAATTGGTGGAAAGAGGTCTACCACAACTCTTTCAGTTTCTAGAAAGCAAATCACAACTGAAAGACGTCCTCAACGCACTGAATAACCTCAGACCTCACACCAAAATCATCATAGAAAACCTCCTGGCAGCTGAGGAACCCATGGCACTCATAACCCACACTGATTTTTGGTGTAACAACCTCATGTTCAAAGAGGTTGATGGTGAATGCAAGTGCGCAGTACTGGACTGGCAAATGGTGACTTACAGCAGACCCACCAATGATCTGTCGTTGTTGTTGGTCAGTTCAGTGTCAGCAGAATTAAGGAGAGCTCATACTGACGAGATATTGGACGTTTATTGGGAGAAACTGACTGATACTTGTCGTATGCTCAAAGTTGACGTGGAAGAAAGGCTGGAGTACGATAGAAAGAAGTTGGGAGATGATTTTAGAAAAGGACAGCTGTTGGCTTTGTTGCTGTGTATAGGTGAGTACCAAAAAAAGTTTTCTTTCAATTTACTATGGAACACGAAGACATATACAAACCAGAAGTAAACAAAAAATGCTCTAAGATGCCACTTATTTATTATAAAAAAAAACAAACAAGTGCAAGTCGTACTCGCGCACTGATGGTTCCGTATAAAGACTATATTTTTTATGATTTAATTACAAATAATGTATAGTATTCAGATTTTTTCCTATACTTGTACTATAAAACGGTACTACTTGTCAAATTTCCCAAATACCCTGTCAATTTTGATTCCTTTGAGTGTCGAAATATAATTTTTTTCTTCTTTTTTTTACGTTCACTTAATAACAACCCTTATTTTTTCAGGTTCCGTAGATTTAGCTCTTGGTAACGCTCAAATGGAAGAAAGGCTCATAGAACTACTCAAAGATCTCAACAAGGAAGGTCTTCTCAGCGTTGACGAGGCTGTATCCGAATCTGAATGCTAAAAAACACCTTTTTGGAACTGTCAGTGATATAAAAATGCTGTGAATTTAGTGAAGGACGTTTTTTTGCAATTTCTAGAGCGGATTTCAAGACTTAGGGTTTTAAAATTGAATGAATTTCTAATCTGTTTCTTAAAGAAAAATTATTTTTTAACCGCCTGAATCCGATCCTGAGTATTAGTGTCGCGCGCAGTTGCCAGTTCGTAGTATTTTAAATCGCTTCGAGCATTAAGAAACCGCTTCATTCCGACAACACCGCTTCTAAAAAAATATATTTTATAGTGTTCTGTGCCAATGTTGCATCGGCTATTGTTCTCGCTACATTCTCCACTGTTTTTTGGTTTTATATTATATATTACATATTATAGCAGTTATATACAAATAAAAATATATTCGAATGTATTTAAAGCTTTATTTTTATCATTATTCAATAAAAATACGATAAAAACTGAACCATAATAGTAGAATGTACTAAAAAATAGAAAATACAAAGATTGATACTTGAATTAGCTAGTAGGAAGTAATCGGTTAAACTACAAATGAACACAAAGCTACGTTGTTGAGTTCAAGATCGATATTGCTCGCTAAAAATATAAATTTATCGATACAGAAAGCGTTCTAAGGTCAGTTTTGTGGAATATCCGTAAACAGAGCAGATTGGATAATTTTTCCCGCTCCAACTAACCGATAGGAATGTACAAAAAATATCGATACTTTTTTTTCAAGAAAATATCAATAAAGAATTTTATTTATAAGTAGGAGATCTGGACAAAAGAGACATACTTTCTGTTTACTTTTTTAATGAATTCAAAATAAACGAATTATTTTACTTTTAAAAAATAATGATTACATTGCGAGAACTGCCAGCATCAGACGGGTCCCAGATTATTCGATAACCTGTGTTGCCACATGGACAAGAAAGTATTAACTTCATTGAAAATACTTCGTAATTTGTGTTAAAAAATAAGAACAGTGTATTTTTCTAGATTCTAGATTTATAAGTAATGCCACTGATATAATTAAATTCAAATTTTCGTAATTCGTTATGAAGAAATTTTAAACTTTATTAGAATGTCTTTTCTGTCTACCAATTCGTTGTACATTATTTTAGTTTTCGCGAAATTCATTTTGAGATCTACTTTAGTGCTGCTTGTATTTAGTTCGTTGATTTGTACTTGCAGTTCTTCAGGATTATTGGCAATCAGCGAATCTTAGATGATGAACTTATACAAACACACAGATATTCAGAATGTGGAAAACTTAAAAGGTAGCAACATTGCAAATCTTCGACAACACCGTCAAGATATCTAAAATAACCTGCGGTACTAAAAAGTTTTTTTTTTCAAAATTTTACAAAAATGAGAAAAAAAATTATATTTTAAGTTGGAACAGTTGAAATACTGACTTATTTAAATACTTGGTACATTCCTGGGTAAAATCTCGAATAAAAAACTCATAGGGTTTAGAAAAATTTAAAGAGAAGTTTATCGGAAAGTATAAAATATCGAATCAATACAATATCGATACTTTCTGGAAAACGACATCCCTACTGAACGAGTTCTCTGACCGTGATCGAGTTATTGTCATCGTCTAAGCGTAAAATTGTCATTGAACAACGACCATTGGTCAACATTCTGCGTCATTAGGCATTTCAAGTAAAAAGGTTAACAACATCTCGTTTAATTGTTCATACGTTTCTAATTATTTTGTTGTTTAATTAGATAAATTATTAGTCGCGTTTATATTAATTACATCCACTGTCAATAAGTAAACAATTTATTATTAGTATCTCAGAATCAATAAAATCAAAATTAGTATGTTATCACATTAAAAATTAAAAAAAATATTTTTTTTTCAAATGTTACAAAAGTATTATATTTTACGACATGATTGGCAATATAAAAACGTCATTTTAACGCCTAGACATAAAAATAAAGCACTTTTGCGCCTAAGCACAAAAGTACGAAAGTATATTCAGGGGGGTGACAGTGAAATAGGAAAATTGGAAACAGTCATTAGTGTCATTCCTGTCATTCTCCTCACGACAAGTATGGCCGCCTAGACAAGGACAGCATTGTTTTTGTCTAACTATTGTCTAACTTCACAGTTTAGAATTGACAGATTTCAGTTTCAGAGACAACTTCAGATTTGTTCTAGAACAAATTCGAAAATATTCGACGCCATTTTAATTCATTCCGTTTAGTTTCGTTTTGGAAGTTCAATTTAATATTTCGGCTGAAATTTATAAATATAAAGGTAATAAAGTATATAAAATATAAATTACATGAAGAATCCTGGAGAAAATGACGTTTCTGCAGTAGTAGGTATGTCCCATGTATATCAAAAATAGGTAGTAAATAAACACTGTTTTTACATTTTTTAGATGCAAGAAAATGGTGTTATAATCTCTTTGATCGGCGATTTTTTTGAAAATGGAAACAATTTACAGCAAGGTAAGATCATTTTTAACTATAGCCAACATTAGTTATCTCCAGTATGTGCGATTTATTGTCAATAAAGCAATAAATCGGACTGATAATCTGATTATGTTATCCGACTAAAAGTCTCTTTTTGCATCTTTTTGATTTATAAGCCAGGTTCTTTGGGAATAATGGACGCTTTTTTTAAACAGTTTATTTATATTTTATACCTATTGATATTTTTACATTGTTAATTTTTGTATAAAAAAATTGTTTTTCTGTTTTCAGGTTTTTGTATAAGGCTCCCGTTTTCATGTTCCTGTGTCCGTTTTCTGTCCTTGAAGTTTGCGAATGCGTGTGTTTATTTACAAATTACTGTAAGTCATGCTTATACCTTAACTAATTTACGTTAAAAGTGCATATAATTAACTAATTGGTATTGAAACAATACAATCCTCTATATTTTTATATTTATTTAGTCACGTTGTTCCATATTTCAAATAAATATATGTGAATAAATTATTTTTTGGTTTTATTTATGAAAAGAAAAAATACAAAATACATTTGAACTGAAGGAGGGCCCGCCATTGAATAACCGGAAACGGAAATGAAAATTAAGCCATCATGTCCTTATCATGTCAACCTGTCAATTGGAAAATTAGTTCTCCAGACGACAACTAAGGCTTTCGGTGGCGTATCGTGTTTCCACGATTTAACACAGAGTTGACACTTCTTTCTAGTTAATTATTTTATGAGTATATTATTAAATTGACATAAAGTGTCAAATTCAGTACAACCATAGTTTCTAGATACTAGATACCGCATAATCGAAAAAAAACCGGCGTCAGCGATGGTTATGAACTGAAGATCGCTGTCATTTGATATGTAAAATTATATGGAGAATGTCATCGATCGTCACTTTCATGCCAAATGGACGCAGTTTTTTTTCGATCATGCGGTATAAATATAAATCTTTTTAAAAATTGTTTTCAACGTTTGAAATTGTTTAAAAAATTATTAAGGAAGTATATTTTGTCCCTCATATGAGCTAGGTAAAGCTTTAGGTTATTATTTTCACAGACAATGATTTAAATTACTGTTGTGATACAGAACAAGATATTGAAATTTATAGTGATTAAAACATTAATAAAAATCTATGATTACTCACGGGACATAAAAAAATTTGGATTTTTAAAATTTTGTTTTTAATAGCTTTTTTCTCTGAACCTATACAAAATAAAATACATTAAGTGGAATTAGGAACTTACATGTACTGAACTTAAAATTAATTTGCTATAGCTGTATTACAAGATACAGATATATTTGGGATATAAATAATTTGTTGATTACTCACGGGACATTACTCACGGGGCACTACGATTTTAATATAAATTTTTATTTAGATTCAAAAAAATAACATAATATTTGATAACTAAATACAATAACATTAAACAATATTTGAGTGCTTGGAATTAAACATCTTTCTAACCTCAATTTGATAATTACTAAAATTCCTAAAACTATGAAAACTTGTTGTATTTGGTACTCTTTTAACTAGATTCCATTTTTAATCGAATCTAATTTTAGCTGCTTCAATTTCATCGGAATTTATTAGGATTATATTAATTTTCAATTCTATTAATTTATAATTTTCAATTATATTAATTTTCAATTTTTTAATTCTCGGCATGTTTTTTAAGATACGCTTGCCTTAAATTTTTGTCCGCATTAATTTTGTCTCGATACTTTTTGTGTGACTGCTAACGTGACTGCTAACTCGTGTCTACCTCTCATGATTCTTAATTTTTGCCATCCTTAAATAAAAAGAACCTATGACCGTTATTTTGTATTGATGTTTTCAATAATTATTTTTAAAAAAAGACGATATTAAGTAATACCTAAGTAATAAAACTGGCGATAAGTCTTGTAATGTTAGTAAAATTATGTTTTTTAATATTTTTGGTAAAATAATAAACGCATTTCTTTAAAAGAGCATGTTTACAGCAAAATGTTATGCTGTAACTTTTAACTGATTACTCATGGGACAGTTTAAACAAATTTAAAAAAATATATTTCCAAGAATCTTAAAAAACTAAGTTATATTGACAATACATGTTAGCCAATATACTATAAGTTTGATTCCCTTTATACGGGTTTTCTATAGAAATAACGACAAAAATTTAAAAACTTTTCTTTTTTGATTACTCACGGGACAAAAAGTTGAGCTATATTTGTAATTAAATTAAAGTAATTTTTTCTTACATTTGGCACAAAAATACACCAGTGCACAAACGCTTGACAACAGTAAATGACGCGCACCAGGCTCAGAGCTAGCATTCTTTTGTTTTTCCATGACAACTCTTCATATAAAATGCAATTATTAAAGATTTCTTGCAAACTAATTCTAATGCAAACTATTGCAAAAAAATTCTAATGATTTATCCCTAAATTTTTTCGCGAAATCTGGCTAACTTAGATAATATAAGATAATTTTTTAAGAAATTCGATTCTTTTTGAGGCGTATGATGAGAGTTTTTTCAGTAATTTAATCACTTAAAATATATAAGAAAATTAACGTCGTACATGGAAAATTGCCCTTCTATGGATACAACTGACTACCGTTAGCTGCTGCTAGCATATTCTATAAATTATAATTGTTTTTTTAGACATTGTGAATGATGGCCAGCTCTGAATAATAAAGTATAATTAAAACGACAATAGTATAATTAACACACTAAAATGTTGAAACAACATGAAATCATTTTGATAACATCGCAAATATGTTTTCTTTTTTATATATATATAAATTACGTTAGTTTGACATTTAAAACATTGAGAAATTCGCCTGCAAAAAGACGCTACTATTGATTCGTCCATCTTTTTCGTTAAATTGGGGTCACAAACGGCAACCGCTTTAGGGAACACAGGCTTTCGTCGATTTAAACCCTAATCTTCAGCTTTATATTGACCTACTTTAAGTTTTCTGAAGGAATATCGTCGTTATTTTCTAGCCCTTAGGATATATTACTATACAAAGGAATTGGGAAAAGCTTCACATATAAAAATCGTCAAAAAAGACTAGCTATACACATTTATTTCTCTTCATTAAATAGAAATTGTTATTTATCGTCAAACTGTACGATTTCTATATTTTTTAATAAATAATTAAATTCTGTTAAAAAATGCGATCCTGTATTAATTAAAAGTTTCTTCGTCGATTACGTTCAATTTCTAACCTTGTTTTTAATGCCAGGATGAAAATAAGATGAACACTATAGTTGTATTGATCGATTTCACAAATAAAGTAAAAATTTGTGAATTAGAAAAAAAAAACAAATAAGAAAAAACGACGTCAGTGAATTGACATAATTCGCCAAAATTTAGTATAAAAATATTTATGCATTTTACTGATTTGACAATTGGCAATTCAGTGATGGAAAACAAAAAATTATACTGGCTTACAAATGTCTGACATTGTAGGTACAAAAAACTACTTAAATAACAAATAACGAAAGTACTTACAGAAGCGATTACACCACCAACTATAGCGGCATTACGTCTATGTTTGTTTGCAGTCTTATATCGGGCGTAGAGCTTTTTACCAACCCAAACCGGAATGCCTGAAATAAGAAAAACACCCTGTACAATATCTACCAATGAAGATAATACAATTGGAGTACATACTAGGTCTGGTCACATCATCTGCGTGGTCTGTATATTAATGCACGCGACAGAGATATATATATATAAATGACTGGTTAACAGAGAGAGACCCTAAATAAAAAGCGGCATACAATGTTGCCAGTTTTTACGTTTGTAGGAAAATGCGTGTAGAAAAAAAAACTATTTTAAAAACTTTCATGTATACTACTGAAATGAAAGTAACATATCTAAGCTAAATATAAGCTATTACAGCTGTAGAAAAATAAGTAACTAATTGTGATAAATAAAGTTTCAACCGTAGATGCAACATTTTCCATAAACACCTACTTGTGCGGTTTGAACTTGAATAAATGTGTCACACCAACTTTTATCTCTTTTTAATACATTTGATTTTCTATTAAGCTGTCTACATCACTGTCTTACACATTAAAATCCAGACCACGCAGTTTCAATGACCAGATCGGTATATTTGCAAATGAGGATTCACAGGATCTGTTATCAGTCTAGTGACAGAGTTATCTACCGTTTTAATTGAAAAGTAATATTTCATACAGAGTTTTTAAAATATATATAACTGTTTTATAATATATTGTGGTGTTGTCAATTACATAAATTCTAAATCGATTATGAAACTAAAATAGATCTATTTGTAAGCTGTACTTACCTATTATCATAGCAGGTACCGTTATGCCTGCGACTAGAGCTATACCTATAGGAGCACCAACTAAAGTACCGAGTTGCCATAGAATTTTCTTCTTCCTGGACCATGGTTTTTTGCCCCAGAAAGTACATCCTGATGGACTGAAATTTGTAGGAAAAAAACAAATAATATAACAACGAACATACAACTTTTAATTAATAAATATATACTCCAACAAAAGATGATAATTGCGTTGGCATATCTTCTTTAGAGTGATACGCTATATGTCTGTGTAAACCTGTACAGTCATCGGCCAACGATACGTTATATTTTGTCGTACTCCCGGCCCTTGGGCCAACCAAGTTGGACGTGTGCAGACCGATTAGGTACGTAATGATGACGTAACGATCGTTGTACAGACTGTATGTACTGTATAAAAAAGAAGAAATAATTTATTGGACAAGCCTAGAACAAGATTAGCCATGAGACATGACTAAAACATGACTAATCTTGCTGTGGGCTAATGGTCTCATGGCTAATCTTGCTGTAGGCTTGCCCAATAAATTATTTCTACTTTTTTATTACAGTCCCCACGATAACATCTTCTGTTTATTGTACTCTATAATACAGTAGATACAGTACGTGGTCTGGTGTACAGACTAGGTACTGTATAATGAATTGTAACGTTAATATGTGGATTGTTCAAGTTAGTTTTATTAACAAACGGCGTTGTTTACCTTAGAAAATGTAAATCGTTTATTTCTTTCATGCACAGCCAACAAAATTCTGCCCCGCACACAGCGCACATCATGTGATTGCAGGACCCGTCGTCCATCTTCACTATTAGTACCTGGCATCGCGGGCAAGGTTTTATATCATCTCCTGAAATTAAACATAAATTATAGAACGAAGAAATTTTTGATAAAAGAATAAAAAAAGGTCTATTATCAACTTATACAGGGTGTTTTATAAGTATGCAATGGAAACTCGAAAATTAGAAGAGATTCAAAGTTGATTAAATTCAGAGATATGGAGGTAGAAAGAATGAACTTCGACGAGTGTGTTTCCTAGATACCATCATCAACAATTTTTCTAAATATCGATATTGATATTTATAATTTTTATTTCTTACTAAATTAATATAAGCTTATATATATAGTCATCGCTCCCTTGGAACATTATTAACGGAAATAAAGATGCCGTAATTCCCACTACCTTTTATAGGTAACAACCATGAAATACAATAGAGATTTTGAGTAATAATATAAGATGTAAGTGGACACTCATCTAACTACTCTAATAATTTATTCACAGTATTAATGTCAGATATCATAAATTTAGAACAGAACAGTTTCATCGACATCCGCTGCTACAATATTTTTCTATCCAAGTCACTAAAGGTATTTTTTATATACCTTTTCGCAAATGGACTCACTTTTAAGTGGAAGTAACGCTTGTGGTGCTTCTTCAGGTTTCTGACAGGTCTTCTTCTTCACGTTTTTTGACAGAAAAACTGAACTCTACTGACAGCAACTGTCAATTATATAAAGAGATTATTTAATATAATAGTAATCTGGTAACAAACAAAAGTTCCTAACACCAGCGTTAATACAAATATACCGGAAGACTAATGAATGCAACATGTGTCGTTTTAAAATGGGATACTAAATTCAAGTATACTAAATTCAGTAAGAAATAAAATTATCTATGTACTACGGGAATTATACGTGTTAATAACCTCGGGTAATTATTGTGGCAGAAACTTTGTATGTACTTATAATGCCTTTGATACATAAATAACTATTAATTAGTTCTTATTTATTGAAATACATTTCCCCGATACAAATACCCAATAAAAATTTCCTTCTTGTATTCAAAACAAAATTGAAAATTGTTTACATGCTCAAGTTATTTTTAAACTACACACTATACTAAAATATTCTAATACCGATACTTTTAAGTTAACGATGTTTGTGTGAGATATTAAAAAATAAAATTGTTTTTGTGCATATGGAAATTTATAATTAGTTTATTTACTATTTAATTACTTTACAGTTAATTTATTACGTTTCGTCATTATTTTAGATGTCAAAAATAACTTCAAACTACATTGTAGTTATTATTGAATTACGTACATATTATGTTGTTGAGTTAAGTACTAGAACTCGAGGATGAATTTTTAATAAAAAAAATAACATAAAACCATAATTTTTTTTACATCCACCATTTTTTTTGCCAAAATATTGCCAATATTGTGTTGTATTTTCCATGTTACTTAGTATACCTATAAATGATGTTTTTATAAGTATACTATAGGTATTAATTAAGCGTCTATTACACTGTTCGGGTCGCTCTCAGGGGTCGGGTAAAGCGGGCGCCTGGCCGAAGGAAATATATAATATATTTCAAAAATCTGCCTAAGGCTTAGCCCGATCCTATCGTGTTAAGCCACACTCAAAATTCCAAACACACATGCTTTGATTAAGGCTTGATTAAGGTTTGTAGAGCTTCAGCATCTGCCATAAAATAGCGAGCAATTATTTGTTATATATAAATTATCTATTATATCACTGTAATCACAAAACTTCAATCTACTTCCGTATTGTAACGGAATTTTAAATTTTGTCTTTATTTTCGGGAAAATTTAGTCCAAACATAAGGAATATTTTGCTGATGTGTGACCATCAAAATCTTAAAAATAAAGAAGTTGTCTAAAAATGTGCTACAGTAAGGATATAGTATAATCCTTTATCTTTAATTTCCTTCTTCACTTGTGTAAAAATACCTAGCCAGTTTTACATAAAACTTTAAATGCCGAACGCTTATTTTGCTATAATAAATCTAGTGAAATGGACTCTTAAGGGTTTATGATAAGGTGTGAACTTACTATCTAGACTGTAGGCGATCGAGGACGAACGAATATTGGGCGATCGCTGCGCCCTCGCCGCATCACACGTCTGATTGGGATGCCACTCGGCCTTGCAGTGGTAGCAAAAGTAGGAATCGCAGCCAGGCCGCTCGCAGCGCAGCTTCGGGCAGCTGGCGCACTCCGACGCGATAACGGCGAAGCTACAGTCCGGAGCCGGACACCACCTAGAAGGAAAAAAAGGAAATTTAAGGAAAAATTTAAAAAAAAATGTGATAAATTTTAGGACTATAAAAAACGCGTACTAAACAACTACATCACTCACCTTGTGTCAGGATCAACTGCCAGCACCCTGCGTACCATGAAATCTTCATATTTCTCAAACAACGCCGGGTTGTTCAATATATCTCTGATTTCTACAAAAAATAACAAGGCTGATAAATAAAAAACTGACACGAGTTGAATATTATAAATTATAAGCACCGCTTCCCGATACGATTTGTACAAAATGTACAGGATGAGTCAACGATAGAGTAAAGTCCACTATCTCATTTGTTTCGAGGTTTACAAAAAAATATTAAATATAAAAGTTATAGGGACCGTTAAGACACACATTTTAAAATTATTATAGAGTATACGGTGGCGAATACAACATATATGTTTTTGGTTTGGTTTGGTTTGGTTTAAATGCAACAACCTATTTTTTTTATTTTATTTTTAGTCTGCGTAAAATTCCATAACTTTTATATATATAATGTTATACACCTAAAATTAATAGTTTTTATAATATTTAAATTTGTTTAAACAAATGTTAGATTGCAGTGTGGTAAAAAATTGTCAGTGATGCCATTATTTCTGACGTTGGACAACTAAAATTTGGTAGAATTTTTTAGAGATATAGAAAAAGACATATGTATAGATATTTTAATTAGATGCTACAGGGTGTTCAAAATATATTTATGAATTTCAACTACTTAAAATTAAGAAATTTCAAATATTTTAAATGGTACACCCCATATATTATTTTGTTTCTGATAGATTTTACAAAATTCTTCAACTTTTATTAAGAATGTCATACACCTATTTTTAATAGGTTGCGATTTATTCCATTTTTTTCTATTTTTACCCATATTTTTAATACAATTACGCTATAACATCATAGTTACCATGACAAAACAAAAATATTATATACCGATATTACAATATTATAAGTATTATAATTCATGTGTGTATATTATAAGTGATATACAGTACGTCTGTCCGTTCTGTAGCTACGGGGTATCCGTGAGAGGGGAAACGGTATTCTCTCGATGTTTTTCGTAGAAAAATAGACGACGCGTCCCATCAATAAAAATTCAACAAATTTGCAAGTAGCCAATAAAATGAGTGGGCGGAGCGATTTGCGGTGACGCACTCGTCAAATCGACGTGTAAAATATATTGCTGTTTATTTAAATGTTTTTTGTCCGCATTCCTTTCATAGACACAGATCCAGCAGATGTACTGTACATCAATGTATTATATTATAATATCGAAGTCGATCAGACTGACTGTGACTAAATGAGCGTAAACCTGCCTTGGCGACTGATCAGTGTTAATGGGTCAGCCCATTTAATTTGCATTGAGGCATCACATGAAAACAGTTTTAATTATAAACGTTTTGTTCTTTTTTTGTGCGTCTCGCCTAGTTTGATTTTCATGCGTCCGTTATCCGTTGATACTATGGTCCGACGACGGCGACGCGCGACGCTCTGATTGGTCATAGCGTTTTCACGCCACTTTTCATCCGTAATTTTTTTACTCCAGCCCGTCAACGGAGAAAGATCGTACCAAAGATCGTACGATAACGGACGTTTTGACAAATTTAATCTAACCTTAATAAAAATATAGTAGTACAAGAGCTAACAACGTCGGAAAAAAAAAGAATTTCTCTCCTGATCAAAGTGCGGGAAATCTGGCTATCGATAGACTACTGCGGTACATTACTGCGCATCACATGTGTATAGAATATCCCATTTTCGTGTGTTTTATGGGATTTCTCGTATACGAGTAGAGATACAATGTGAATTTCACATTACTTTTAATAAAATTTACTTTTATAAAAATAAATATGCTACACATAGGTTGGCCCTAGCCTCCTTAGTTCTTGAAATACAGGGCGAATTTGTGACGCGTAGTAGTGAACAGATGTTAATACAAATATGATGCGCAGTAGTGAACGCAAAGTCTACCGGCAGCCAAACGGTCCTCGCTCTGTTCAGAAGAGCATAACAAAATATATTTATTAAAGAACCAGTTTTCTTAAAATTATCTGTCGAAAACCTTGCGCTAGCTCTTAGACTATAAGTAAAATAGCTAAATCGTTATTGAAATGAAAATATAAAATGACACCAATCACATGCAAATCGTACATCCGATGAACGGAAGCATGAAGATGCAATAAATTTAAAATGTGCGTAATTTTCTAACCAAGTTTTTAAATTCGTCATCGTATCGTCGGACAACGGATGCATGAAACTCAAGCTTAAAGCTTTGTCCACGAAAGATAGGGAACTATCGAAGAAAGAAAACTCACCATTAGGATGCATCGGCTCCAGACATTCCGGACAGGCTATACAGACGCGAGATTCCGTGATTTCCACACGCAGGTACTGCTGAAAACAGGAAATACATGCCCGATGACTGCAACCGCTCAATTCGCAAAAATCTTCGGGTGAAAGCTCGGCAAGACATAGAGGGCATTCCCAGAAATGGCCAGCTTCTGTACTCTGCAAAAGAAAAGAAAAAATTATCAGTATTAAATAAATAATATCATAACAAGACATGTCTTGTTGTGAAAAGTCTTTAAACTAAGAAATATTCAGCGCTATTGACAACACTGGAGAGCTATGCTAAATATCTTAAAGTCAATTAGAGTAGATGTGATTAAATTAGATTTTTGAGGTGTTCCACTGCGACCTTTCCAGATCTTACATTACATTCTCCAGTCCTATCGTTTTCAAAAAGTCTAGCAACTTGGAGACTGAATCTTCCATATAGCTGTTTGTCAATAGTCTATCATTGTCCAGTACAAAGAAACGCATATTTATCAGGTTGTCGCACATAAAATGTGTTCTGTCGTTTCTTCTTTAGACTGACAAAATTTGCACATGGCTTCGTCCGTCAATCGCATCAGTTTTAGATGCCTATTCAGCTTACAATGACCTATTACTTATAGTCTTTGCTTACCAAGGCTGCTGTGAATTTTGGTGAAATTTTTAGCCTGTCTCTGCTTTTTTCGTCTACACGTCAAGGTTTTACTTGATACATTTTGACTGAACAGGTAAAACGTTATGTGTGGACGGGGCTTTAGATTTGTCTGTTTAGGTATATTATTTCACTTTTTATTTGGATCTGGCATAAAATATGTTATTTAGTTTTTAAACTATGTATACAGAGTGGTCCGAACTGTATTCCGAAAACTTCGGCAGCATATTCTGCAGATAAAAATAAGTAAAAAACTTCGTATAAATGTATATCCTAAAATGCTTAGTTTCAGAGATACATTATTTGGATGTCATTATTTGGATGAAAACTGGTGTCTGGAAGTTTCTCAACATGCGAAATTTGATTTTGATATCAATATGCCTCCTACTTGTAGAGGGCACCACCTACATATTTTTTAACTGATTTGAAGAGTAATAACTTTTCGTCTGTACCTGTATAAAACTACTGAGTAAAAAAATATACATGTACGACGTTTTCTACGTAAACAGGTCTTTTGGTAAAAATCGCTACGAGCAACAGTTCTCAACATATTTAGAATGAAATTAGTCAATACTTATACATGTCATTATTGACAAAAAGTAAACATGTTGAGTAAATAGTTATTTGACTGAAGTAATAAATTTGGGAACTTTTTATTTTTCGAATTATATATATATATATATATAGATATATAGTATAGCAAAGTTATATATATATATATATATATATATATATATATATATATATATATATATATATATATATATATATATATTGTTATTATATAGAAAGAAATTCCATAAGCAAGTCCATTAGAAAGATTAGTCATGTACATGACTAAAACATGGACTACCCGTAGACACTCAGTGTTTCTGCCTTCCGGCTTCATCAATACGGGAGGAATCAGCAACGATGAACTAGCGATCCTGAAAAGAGAAAGAAAAGGAGAAGCAAACGAGTACTTGAAGTTGTTACTACCGAAACCGCCGCGGAGGCGTTCCAACACACCTCGCCGCTATCACCCTGTGTCTACGGGTAGTCATGTTTTAGTCATGTATCATGACTAATCTTTCTGTGGACTTGCCCAATAAATTTCTTTCTTCGTTTTTTTATAGTTTCCACGATAACTTCCTTTGTTTATATATATATATATATATATATATATATATATATATATAAAGCGGGGGTCCTACAGCTTCTGCCGCATCCCGCATTTCGACCTCCATATTGTTCGATTTTGCCATTCTTCCTGGTTAATAATAGCTCTATCTCTCATGTACTGGTCTACTCCATCTAAGCACGTAGTTGTAGGTCTTCCTCTTTTCCTTCTGCTTTGTGGACGATACTCCATTGCACTTTTTGGCCATCTTTCCCCTCCCATTCTTTTTACGTGCCCATACCATAGTAGCATAGTAGCTGTCTCGATTCGATGTTGTCGGTGCTGGTATATATTCGCCTTGTTCTTTGCCTGATCTCCTCATTTCTAATGTGCTACATCCTTGATATTTGACATGCTCTTCTGAGAAAGTCCATCTCCACTGACTCGACCATCCTTCTTTCTTTTGATGTAAATTGCCAGCATTCGGCACCGTGTGTTAAAATTGGCTCTACGATTGCTTTTTTTCAAATTAATCATGTTAAATAATGATAAAACAGTTTCTGTTGAACTTTTAGCACAAAAACATTTCAAATTTATGATTTCAGTCTAATAACTATTTAGTCAACATGTATAATTTATGTCAATCATGACAGGTATTAATAATTTCGATTCTCAATATCTCTAGAAACCTCGGTAGCGATTTTTACCAAGATACCTTTTTTAGGTAAAAAGCATCGAAAATGTATATTTTTTTACTCAGTAGTTTTATACAGGTACGGACAAAAAGTTATTACTCTTCAAACCAGTTAAAAATATGTAGGTAGCGCCCTCTACATGTAGGAGTCATATTGACATCAAACTCATATTTCTCATCTCAAAAATTATTTGGAATAAATCGAAATAAAAGTGAAACTTCTACACCCTGTATCTCCAAAACTAAGCATTTTAGGACATACATTTATACGAACTTTTTCACTTATTTTTATATGAAGAATATGTTGCCGAAGTTTCCGAAATACAATTCGGACCACCCTGTATGACGACCACCCTGTAACCAACCTGTAAGACCACCCTGTAACAAAAAGCCTGAAAAATATTATGAAAATCATAAAATCTGTTTAATACAAAACGAGCTACACTACTTCTATTTGTTCCAACGCAATTTCTGTCTTTGTTTGAGAACCAACAAACGCCAGTGATCGATCAAGGATCGAGATTTGTCTCTTTTTTGTCTCTCTCTCTCACTAACAGATTAAATGCTAAAAACAAATCCATTTCCATAACGAGTCGAAACAACAATCCACCATTTCAATATTTACATAAGCTCGATGTGTGTGTGTGTATTGAAGTGTGTGTGTATGTCGTCAATTACCGTTTATTATATTATATAAACACAAAATATAGGACGTAGCAGTGCAATATAAGCTTTCTAAAAAAATATAAAAAGATATAATAAAGAAAAACTACATTAAACTGTGTAATCAAATGAAAAGCGACGTTGCAGTAGGCGCAGAAACGACATTTTTGTTCTAGTTTTACTGTAAGTATCGCGTATCGCTGAAATTCTTTAGTTTCTTTAGTTAAAATGTCCCATCAGAAACATAAAATGTAAAAAAAATCTGTCTAAAAAAAGTTGTGAGATCTCATGCAAAAACCAAGTCAATTATTTTAGTTAGTTTCTATGAAATTCAACATATTCAACAACTTTGTTATCAGTTGTTATTTAATCAATTACCTATCAACATTTATAGTGACCGTATAATTGTAATGACTTGGCAATTGCACGGCAACATATTCTACTAATTAAAACACTTTAGTCTTAAAATGCACTGTTTAGATTTACTTAGTAATCGAAATAGTAGATTATTCTTTTACAAATAGATAATATATAGAAAAAGCAGTAAAACGATATGCAAAAATGTCAAAAATACGATTTTTTTATCAAGCGAGAAGGTCAAAAGTTGATATATGTCATTCTATTCAGAGTGTCATTTTTTATCGAATAAAGTAATAAAAATACCGAGTGTGTCATTAAAAAATCAAAATTTGTAGTTATTTACTGTGAAACAGGATTGAATAAAAATCAATTGAATACGTTCATCAACACTGATTTATGTCGTATACTAACATAGTACCAAATCTCCGTTCTTCATATGAAAAAATAAAAAAAAATATAGGGGTAAGCCACCTTAAAAAATAGTTCTTTAAGATCATTTAAGAATTGGATAAAGAATTAGATAACTGAGACACACACAACTGAGATCCGTAGAAAGAGTAGGTATGTGTAGTTGCAGCAGATGCAGCATATTATAAAGTTTTAATTACCTATACTATGTGTTGCAGATGTTAAAAATCCTAAAAACTAAACAACATATTTTAAATACATATTTTAAATATTAAGCTATACGTACATACAGGTTACAGTCGCAGCGATTTAAAAATAGCAAACGCAGTTTCAATTGCGATTGGAGAATCGCATTTTTGCTCATCTCTACAATACACTGTATGTAAATATATATTCAGATAGACTAACCAAACCATAATCTACATAACTTTGTTTAGTAAAAATACAATTATTATAACCCATTCTTTGAATTTAACTTGTTACAACTTCATTTCGTTCCTGTATCATTTAATTACGTAAAAAAAACAAACTTAGCTAGAACATTTCCTAGAGGTTTAAATTCAATTAAAAGTCTCATTCTTTCGTGTTTACACAAAATAAAATACAACCTGTTTGTTGTTGCGAGATGCGTCAACACGATAAAGGCAGACGAAAGCAGTTGTCACTTGCTTTATTGCCAATATAAAAATTTAACGACGATGAAGTCCATTTGATTTATTTTTAACTGTTCAGAACATCATTAGTCATGTTTTTGTTGTAAAAGGATTCGGAGACTAATTATTGTAATTAATTAATTATTTGAGTTGATTAATTTAGTGAGATTAAAGGATGAATTTTCTGTGTTGAGCAAGAAAGGGTGAATACTGAATATACCAGTAGTCGGATATACACCAGTGGTCATACAAAACGTATTTATTGGGAAATAAGTTAAATATATGGATAATTAAAAACCCAATTCTTCCTTTTGTTCTATAACAATTTCTTTGCCTAAATTGTTATAGAACAAAAACCCTAAAACCGTTAAAAATTCGGGAAAGTGACCACATGTTTGTGCTTCCTAATTTTTGGACAAAAATGACAATGGAGGTGAGATAGTTTGTAAGGTAAGTTGTAGAATGTAGAATGTTTAGGAGGGGAGTTAGTCACCGCGACCTTAAAGATCTATTGTGTGTTCCCCTTTCTTGAGCTATAACCAGTTATAACTCATCATACAGTCTCAAGGCTTTAACAAAAGCCAGTATCTGAGACGGCTCCATAGAGGCCAGCTCTCCATCCTTGACGTCAGCCGTACCAAAGTT